TTATAGAATTTATCCCGCTAGCTTTTAAGATGATAACCATATATTAATCTGTAATATATGGATATGATAGAAAATGATAACGTTGTGGTAACGGCAACTCCCGACTATTAAGCGAGTTTTAATAGCAGAAATTGTGAAAAAAGTAAGCAGAGTCGAAAGCAATCGAATTAAATTGGAAAATCGAGAGTACTATGTTTGAGTATTGTTGCTCAAAACGCCGAGCTCCTTAATCGAAAAAAATCGGCTTGGAAGCGTAGCTAATCGGAAGCGCCTAGAAATCAAAATCAGAAAAGAAGTAGAAGTAGTAAAATCTCTTTCGTCAAGCTTGGTCTTAAATAGAGCGTAGAAAATGCGACAGTATGCAAAAAATTTCGTTGAACTATCTCTTGTAGTGTTTCGATTTCTTTGGATGGAACATGGAGCTTATGTGTTTTACAGAGATGTAGACAAGGTTACGCCTATTACGAAATACTAAGTTGAAAGGATTTGTATTAAAAGCCCGTCTAATTGTTATACCCTAAACAGGCTACAGTAAATTGTCCACGAAGTTTGTGTGGTGGCAGAAGGAAACGTCGGAGACCCTTTGTAAAATATATATATATATAAATGAATGATGTGACAGCTGAGTTCCTTTACTCATCTCCATCTGACCATCTGTCCGTCTGTCTGTCTGGTGTAGACGCGAACTTATCCTTCAGCTTTTGAGATATCGATCTCGACTTTTACACAAGTCCTTTTCTCCCTAAGAAGCTGCATATTTGTTAGCACCGCCGATATCGGAATTTTTCAGATCGGACCCCTATAGCATATAGCTGCCATACAAATTGAACGACCAGAATCAAGTCCTTAAATGTTTTTATAAAACAAGATATCTTCACGAAATAGAAAATTGTCTAAGGCAGGGAACAATCTCTGAAAGCTGTTTAGATCGGACCAACATAGCATATAGCTGTCAAATAAACTGTCAAAACAACATCAATATAATGCTATGCTTCAGTGCAGCCGATGTTAACGTTTTTGTTTTTTAATTGGAATGAATTGTTTGCTTTTTTTGGTTATGTGGCAACGTCATTATGTCATATGATAAATAATAATAATGAAAAAATGTATACTCACATTATCGTATTTTCATATATTTAAATTTTTTAGCTCAAAATGGTATTTGTGTAACAATATTAACAGGGTGGCAACACTGTTTAAAAATTAAATGAAATTTAAACGATAAAAGACATTAAGAGTTGTGCCATACTTTACTGCGAGTCTCGAAGCTAAAATTTTTTTTGAAAAAAATATTTTATTTGAAATTAGGTGGCAACTCCATGTTATAAATAATTTGTAGTAATGGTATTTTGAATTAAGGACACATATACATTTTTTTTTATTTATTTATATATATATTTTTTTCTCATTTAGAATTAGTTATTTATATAGTCAGACGATTGGCGGACAGACATCTTACTGATGTGTACACACATATATACATATAAATTTATAAACCAGTTGAAATATCTAACACTCTCTCGAAAGTTTTATTATATGACAACCAGTCGCAACTCAACCAAACTCATAAAATAACCTTTGCCACATATGGTGCCCGAGTATAAAAATCGCACACACATGCATACATACATACACACGCACTTGCACTCATCGCAATTTAAACATTTGTTTGAATTCACCAATTGTTATAATTTGTTCAATTTAATTTGATTCATATGAAACGCCCCGCGCCAACCCTTTTGCCGCGTCAACACACATTTCGGTGCTGCTTTGGGGTAATTGTGGCAAATTACCTGGTGCAGAACGGTGCTTTGATTTTAAACATTATCGCAGCGCTGAAATCAATCATCATTATAACTATATAAACTGTCATCATTCGTTGAATGACACTTACTATTCGATTTGTTGTTGTTGTGGTTTCACCTCAGTGCCGTGTAAATAGTGTATATACAATAGATAAAGCAAAACATAAATGTTGCATGCAACAAATGTGTGACGCACTAATAAGAAGCACTTCAATGCTGATAACAATTCGAAACTTGAGTGTATTGTAATAGTTTGTGTGTATGTGTGTAATGACGACACAAGGATATTCATACATGTGTGTGTGTGTGCGTTCCTGTTTGAATTGTTCCTTAACGAAATTGCTCATCATGGTCATTTATCCAAAAACACTTATACAACCGGAGCAGCGTTAACATCAGCATCATCACCAACAACAACAACAACAACAGTTATCATTTTGTTGTGCGCCTTTCATTCATGCTTCACATACTTCATAACAGCGCTTTGCTTATTCAACGCAAGATGCCACCAGCAAAATATTTTCTTTGCGTGCTGTTGCGCGCATTTTCCGCCTGTATTTATTGTTGTTCCACATGCTCCTTTGTACCATGCTCATTCACATTTAAGCGTTGTTCGAGTGTCACTCGAGGTTACTGCATGAATTACGTACTAAAGTGGCCAGATGACTGGTGACAACAATGACAATTTTGGTGCAACTAGTCAGAATGATGATGACAATGATGATGACAATGATGAGTAGTTTGATGATGACTGTGTTGTTTTCGACATAAATGAGATTTTATTGGTTTGAATAGTTTTGGTGTTCATTGTATGCACAGATTTTGAATAGGTTTGTCTGGTAAGTATTTACATATGGTGAACTGTTACACCAAAAAAGTGAAGAGAGATTTTAGTGTAGACTCAATCGAAAATTATTCAGTTCCGTTCTATCCGAATAACCTAGCCAACTATAAGAAACCCATATAATTTTTGAAACCTTTGCCTAAAACAAAATCTTTATCAAATATGTATTTTCGGAATAATAAAAAGTTTGAAAAAAATATTTCATTTTTTATATGAAAAAAAAACAAATATTGAAAATAGTGCGTTTGTTTCATTTTATTTTTTTTATACATTAATAAATCTCATTAAAGCCACAATGGCGTACGTAAGAAATATGTTACGAATCGGAAACTCTACATCAAGTGAATTTATATCGAAAAACGATCTACGACTAGCGGGTGCGCTTTCAAGCCTACCATTAAGTCTTGTGCTTGAAAAGCTGTTAAGGGACTCTGGAGTAAACACCAAAGGCACAATATTTTTCAATTCGATTCAAATGTTGGCTTAAGCTGACGATAAAGACATTCTTGCGACACCTATAGACGATTTAAAAACAGCATTTATACAAATAGAAAAATCTGCAACAGTTATGGCTCTTACAATAAATGAAGTAAAAACGAAAGTATTAATATGCTCAACAGCGAAATCAGTGCAACACAGTATCGGACAAAACTTAAGCGTTGGCTAGCATAACTTTGAAATAGTTGACGAGTTTAAGTACTCAGTAGTAAATATGAACAATACGAACAATATATATGCGGAAATAAACCAAAGTATAATAGTCGCTGATAAATGCTATTTCGCGCTAAGCAAACACCTAAAGCGTCGCACCCTCGATAGTTTGCTGAAAATTTCAAACTACCGCACACTGATTGCTACTGTGCTAACATACGCCAGCGAAGCGCCTGGACGTTATGCAAAGCTGATGAAAACATGCTAGAAGACTTTGAACGAAAGGTTTTGCGTAGAATTTTTGGTGGTATTTGTGATGATGATGCTTATGGCGGAAGCGGCTACGGTGGACTGGTCATATTATTTGCGCCGTCGAAAAATATTCTTCTAAAGCAAATTCTTTTAGACAAATGCAGAAATAATAAAAGCAGAGGCCGAGCAAAACTTAGATGGATTGATGATGTGGACCAAGACGCTGAAGCGCTGGAACTACGATGCTGGCGAACTAAAGCAAGGAACAGAAATAATTAAAGAATCAAATTACAGCGAGTGAAGAACCGCAACGGGTTGTGGAGCTGATGTGGATAGTGATGATGATGAGATAAGATGGAAAAAACAAGCATGCCACTTAAGGGTACACCCAATGTGGCAACCTAAAGAAAAGTGATTTTTGGGAATCATCTTAAAACAATTTGCAGCTTGCTCTGCTTTAGTAACAGTTGACAGTAGTAGAGGTGGATGATTGCCAAATAACACTGTCTCCGTCCGTTCTACTTAGGTCTGCCATAAGTTTTGGTACAAGTTCAAGTTATAGAATAGAAACTGTAATACATATTAGAGTGGAGCGAAAAAAAAAATTTTTTTTTTGCTTAGCCTGAGAGTAAAGTTTAGAGGCGACCCACTCACTTCAAAAGTAAATTTCGAGTTGAAATTTGTTTTGGTTTAAACTCTTCACATTTATATAAAATTACCGAATTTGACGGTTTTCGACTCAAAATTTATTTTAACGCTTAAGGAAAGCATGTTGTCGTTTAAGACATTTTTTAAAACTCCAATAATGACCAGAAAGAGAACTCTCCACAGCTTCTAGAACACTAATCAAAAAATTATTACGAAATTAAAATTTTAACTGAAAAATTTACTTTAAAAATGCCTCTAGATATTAAAAAAAAAATTTTTGTCCCCAAATTTTCTTTTTTTATAATCTACAAATTTGACCCTGAGGCTTATCAAGAAAAACATTTTTCTTTCGCTCCACCCTACTAAGTATAACTGTAAAATCCTCGAACCACTACATTTGGCTTGTACAGAAATTATATTTATACATTATACGATTTTTTTTGTCACATATACAATCTAGTCCACGTTCTTTAAAGAAGTTGAGTGAGTAACGATATCTGAGTATTTAGCAAGTCACCTAAACTTTTACAATATAGTACAATCTCATACTTGACCAGAATGTAAATTGACCGAATGTTACGGATGGCTTCCGATTCACTTCTAGACGTTCGGATGCTCCTACCAGTAAATACGGTAAGCCTGCTACAGGACCTCGAGACAGTAGTTCAATTTCTTCGACTGCTCTTTTATTTAAAGCATAAATCTTGGAAACGAGTCCTAATTAGAGATCAGCTGGAGAGCTCTTTTAAGCTTTCTAGAGTTCCAATCAAAGCAATCCAAAACTTCATTGAACATTTTTTGTGTTATATTTCAAGTTGTTTTATAGTAAAATTCTCTACAATTACATAATTACAATTACAATTACAATACCATATACACTTAGCTATTTACAAAATACACCTCGTTCTTTCTTCAATAAATACTATAATTTGTCGTATCACACAATGCAATTTGTTGTTAACGAAAGTACCATTCGTGCTTCCGCCGAACGAAATCAACCAAATTCGACATACACACACACACACATATATATGCGTTGACTTTAAGATACTTCTTCTCCGCTTCTTTTTCAAAATATTGAATTGTGAGCATAATCAAATAAGCGCATACGTCTTCACGTCTCATATCTCACCTCTCGCATACACATACCCACGCTCGTGTATTTTTGACACGGACGTATATCGGCGCAATCGGACTAATTACAAAGCAAACAGTAAGCCAACGCCAAGCGCCGCTGCACGTCCAACGGCAATGGACGACGGTAGCAACAACAACAGCAGTAACTATGACAGCTTCTGCGGCAAATGTGTAAGCGCTATCCGCACAACAACAACCTGCGATTAGCCGAATGCATTGTTACATTGCTGCAAGTTCGTTGGCCGACGCATGTGTTTGACTAGAATTATAATTACGAGCACCATGACTGATGGCGGAGTCAATGCTTGGATGGTGGCTGTTGGCAGTGTTGCTATCGTGCGTACCGTTAGCTGGATATTTGGCATAATGAACCGGATCGTGTATGCCTTTTGGCAGAATTATCGCATCGGTCAGCAACTAACTGCTATTGTTTGCATTCTGTTGTTGTTGTTGTTGCTGTTGTTGTTTGGCACGTTCCTTCGCCTCCTGCTGCGCCTTCTTCGAGCGTTTCCATTTCATACGTCTATTTTGGAACCAGATTTTCACCTGCGTCTCGGAGAGCATGAGGCCACTGGCCACTTCGAAACGCTTCGGGCGGGATAAATATTTGTTTTGCTTGAATTGCTTTTCGAGTTCGAGCAGCTGTTGTGATGTGAATGCGGTGCGTGGGCGGCGTGTCTTACCCAGTATGGCGTGATGCGGATAGGCGGCCAGCTCGGGTATGCGATGGTGCAGCATGCCGGCACGAGCCAAAAATTCGAATTGAAGGTGCGAAGGCATGAATGTGTGACCCATGGATAACTGCAAGAAGGGAGGGGGAAAGTGAGGGTTGTACGTTAGCTAATTTGCGTGGTATATTGATGTCAATATTTTTGTATGAATAAGAAAGTGAATTTACGATTTTCATAGTGAAAAAATTTTTTTTTTTGCAAATTGATTTAAGATCTGTGTTTAAAAAAACTTACCGGTATTGGTTTGCCTGTTGGATCTAGTGGACGATGAAACGCCGAACCACCTTGTGCCAGCAATTGGTAAGGATGACCACCGGCGTAGAGTGGAAAGTCTTGCGGTCTAATGGGACTATGCGGTGGAATGGGTTTCTTAAATTCATCATGGAAATCCATTGGCATGCCTATATGATGTTGATCCTCGCAGCCGGGACTAATGGGCGGACTAGATCGATGTGAAGATGTGGGAGATTCAGATCTGAAATTAAAAAGAAAAAAAAAGTTAGTAATGATTATCAAATGTATAGCTATTTACAAATATCTTTCTTCAAATAACATTTATAAAGAATTTCTGCTAGGGATTTGATGTAAAACATATAATATTAGCTCTACATTTATATAGGCTAATCGATGAAAACTCACTCCACAGGCAATGTGACTGTTTAACAGTTTGCTTGTATAGATTTTTCTGATAAAAGTACAACTTTTTGAATAATAATTATTATTTAGTTGTTCTCACAACTCAGTGAAGATCGATCATGCTCACGTTACCATTCTCGTTAATCTTAAATCTTTAACAGTCCTTATAGAAGAAAACTTGATCTAAAACTCCAATCTGAAGACTAAAACTATATTTTTTATTCTAATTACTGAAACTGTTTGAGTTTCCGAAGAAAAAAATTGTTCGTCATGAGTTTCTATTATGCATACTAAAGAACCCCTATTGTTTTATGGAAGAAATTCTTCATATACTTTGGAGTATAACGCAAAGGTAAAATGAGTTATTTCCAAAATGAATAAGATGGTTAGAGGTAAAGTTCTGTGTTCCAATGATTATAGACCAGAGTATTCAACAACTTCAAAACGTTCAGAGGGAAATATATATTTTGTACATTTCAATATCGAAAATAAGTTCTTTATATCCTAAGTTTGAAATTCAATAGTTAACGTTATACATAGTTTGTTCTAATAACCTTACCGATTATATTCCTTCATTTGTTTTGGATATACCTACATATAAGATGAAGTAACTTGAAATCTATTATTCTTCCAGTAGTAGGCTTTAGTAATCTGTATCTTACGTTGTACAAGTGCGATTTGGTTACACTATATGGCGTTAGAGAGATAAGATTTTTTACTGAAACAACTACTCAGACGGTTTTGTGATTGCTTGACTAAGTAATCTTTGAGAAGGCGTCAAAAATCGACAACAGCAGAGAGAAAATGCGCCATATTTTATAGTCTTTTTTCAATAAAGGCGAAAACGCAAGCCTGGCGACAGAAACCATGAATAGTGTTTATGGTCCTGATACTGCAATGATGCTCAATTTCGATTTGGTCTATTCTGTTTCAGTTATACTTGTACTGTCAATAGGTGAACCGTCTGAGGAATTGTGTAGCATCAGGACAATGCCAAGCCATTCACATCAATAGTGACTCACTAAAAGCCACGGTAGCTTGGTTGGGAGGTTTCTAAGCATCGACCTAATAGTCGAAAGCTAGCACCAAGTGATAACTATCTGTTTCTGTCTATGGCTAATGATTTTGCTATTGAAACTCACTAACTAACTAACTCACCCAGCTGTTTCTATGAAAGTAGCATTATGGAATTACTTTCAAAGTGGCAACAAGATTTTGAACAAATCCTTGCATAGTAGAGCTAAATTGAATTTATAAGGACCATAAAGCTGCATTTTAATAAAAAAAAGTGTATTTCTTTTAACTAGAACTTATATTAGCTAAGCCCTTTTTAATAATACTAAAAGTTGTATTTATTTTAGCAATACTTCCGCAATAATCAGCATCAACTGCTGTCCAACTTCATCGCACCAATTATCTAAACTGAAAAATAAACAGCTGAATTCTCACGCTACTTTACGGCAGCATTTTTCTCTTTCACTCAACTCTTATGAATTTCCTAAGAGCGACCTCGATCCGCTTAAAATGATTGACATTAAAAATAAATTAAATAAGCGCACTTAAATTAGGCGCCAAAATATGAAAAATCAAAGCAAAAAAAAGGTGTAATATCATATTTCCTTGTTATTCATGTTTACTAAGGTGGTGCTAAAATGTTTGCAATTGAAATAAAAACTTTGTAAGTAATAAATTTGTCTTATTTTTTTTTTATCGCAATAGTAAAAATTATTCATAACTCTCTTCGAACCAGGAACTAAAATTTAAATAAAATCATATTTTTCTATATTAATGCACACCCTAATGCCCAAATGAAAGTTAACAAACCGCTTTAAAAATTTTCGCATTAATGTTACGCAAAAACAACCTTAATAGCAGCGTGTATATATGTACACCCTATATGTATAAAATACCTTATTTATGTATATACAGGTAACAATTAGCTGAAAGCTTAGTGGCTGTTAAGTAACAAGCCATTGTCAACTGTAAGCGTTGTTAAAGCAATTTTCAATTGCTGAATTAGTTTTGTAAATATTTTTTTTCGCGCTGCCATGAGCAGACGGACACTTGAGTGTTATGTCAGTTATTTGAGCCATTAACCCACTTGGCATTTAATGGCCGATATCAAGTTGAAATATTGGTAATTAGCAATAATAGCATTATAAACAATTTTTAATAAAAACAATGTGTGGAGTGCTAAGTGAAGCATCTTAGTTTGTAATTTATACACATATACATATATATTTATTATTTCTATCTTTTCGCTTCCTTATTCAATATGCGGTTGAAAAATTGTATTATGTTATCTGTTCTGTATGAATTTATAACTTTTCTTAAATAATCTTCAGTTATATAACTTAATTTAACCGCTAATGTAGTGTTCTTTAAGATTAAAATATCTTATCTTCAAGTAGTATTACGCATATAATGAATAAAAATTTTTAGTTGAAACTGAACGGAAAAACTTACAACTAAATTAGTTTTGGTTTTGACAAGAAGTGTCGATTTCCATGTGATTTTTGCTATTCAAATATTATAATTCTACCAAAGTCAATCATTTCCTCGAGAAGCGGATTTAACAATGTCACCCTATATAGTATATAACTCTCTATTTCGGCGTATAAACTCAAATTGTAATAAAAACACATATGTACATAAGTATATGTTCAAATTAGGCAAAACACAGTAAATCGTTTTAGGTTTTGATTGTTATTTTAAAGGTGAAAACATGACCAAAATAATGATGTGGAATGCTGCCAAATTGACAACTCTTGACTGGATATCAAGGGGTTATAACCACTTATGAATTTCAAAAACCTATTTATTTTTCGAATTTATATAGAATGTACATATTTTTGAGAATATTTGCCGAAAAGTTGCATTTGATACGGAAAAAAGAGTTTCGGAGACATAAGCGTTTTTGTAAGATTTCTTCCAATTGGCTTCCAAACTTTTAGAGTGTTTCTCGAAACGCTGTTTTCAGAATAGGTGCAAGAAATTTCTTAAAAGCGGCTACCACGAGCGATTTTTACACCACCTGTTCTTATATACCATATTTGTCAGGTAAAGGAATAAGATTTCGAATTTTAAGATACTCTGAAGTGTAAAAAAAAAAACTTTTTTGAAAAACCGCCATTTTGTCAAAATTCAAAAGTTAGACTAGTCCTTCGATTTCCTTTAATTCAACTATAGTAATGCTACAAGTTTTATTTTTTGGATATAAGATAATTTTAAGCGAAAAATCTTCCTCAACGCGATATATCTTTTTTCGGAAGTCCTCTTGGAGATCGGCTACGTGGGCTTAGCCGAAAAAGCTATATTATTATAACAGTTTAGCAAATGGCTCGAAAATAGACAAATGAAGCCGAACATTTATTTTTTAAATAGGCGTAGTAAGTGGTGGGGTTGAATAAAATATAAATTTTATTTCGGACCAGTTTTGATCATTCAGTACGTTTTTGAGCTCGAATGCGAGAAATCAAAAATCGACTCTTAATTTGTTCAAAAACTGTTAGCAAAAAATATGCAGGTTTTATACTTGAGTCATTTCTTCCAGCCAATGCAAAGAAATTATTTTCTTTCTTGGCTGTTGAATATATTATTGGCGTGAAACTATTTCCAGATGAGCTTCCACTAAATAAACATCGTTCTAGCCGATTTTAAAAGGTTTTTCTACTTTAAAAACTTTTATTAATCATAAGGAAATTAAATACATTATGAACCGTTAACTGCGCCAATATATAGTTGATAATAAGAAGTTACCTAACAAATCTACCTAATAAACATTATTCATATAAAAAAAAAACTTAAAATTTTCTTTGATTTTGCACCAGCACAATCTAGCGGCATTTTAACCAGACCATCACAGAGACTATAGTTTTAAAGGTGCGAATTACTATAACATTAGGAGATTTGTCAAAATTTACCTAGTATTTGAAAATATCACATTTGTTGATTCGGCAGGTGGCGGTGTACTTTAAATTTTGAACACAAAGATTTACATTTTTTTAATATACAAGATGCGTTCCAAAGTAAACAGTAAAAATGTAAATAAAGGACTATACTATTATTAGTTATTGAGATTAAATGTTTTATACAAAATTTGCTTATTTAATGAAAAATTACAAACAAAATTATTTTTATCATTTTTCTTATCTTGTATGCGACGCGAAATATTTGAAGGAAACATGTGCCAGATACGGGTTGGGTTCCAAGTATTCTTAAAAGTCGTATATAATTACCGACCTAAATCACTTTTCAATTTTTCTTACTTAAATGCATCACAAAATTAACTCAAGTATTAACTATGCGTTCAAATTTATATAAAATTCATAAATATAAGGCATAAATTGCGTAGAACTTGGATTTTAATTTTGTTTGCGATAAGTAATTGTCCCATCAGGTGGTCCAAATAAGTGGGCAATATATTAAATGATCAATAGACCATACTAATAGCTTAATTTTTGGACACCTTAAAAACGCCTATCACCAACAATGTTAACTATCATGAATACTAGGGTGGAGCGAAACAAAATTTTTTGAAAGCATGTTGTTAAGATTTTTTTTAAACTCCAATAATGACCACAAAAAATTTTTTCAAGTTGATAACTTTTAATTGCCCTGAAAGAGGACTCTCCACGGCTTCTAGAACACATATCAAAAAGTGTTTACGAAATTAAAATTTTAACTCGAAATTTACTATAAAAGTGATGTTAAAAAAAATGTTAGCCCTGAGGCTTAGAAAAAAAAAACAATAATTTTTCTCTCCAACCTAATGAATACAAAATTTTAATATTATTTCGCACGGGTCAAAAAAAAACTTTGGACTCATTAAATCACACACATCTTCACTTCAAATCAATAAAATAGTCGTTATTTTTTCAATTAAAAAATTTCTACAAAATCATAACCTTCAATATGGTCATCTTCGCACTCACCTTGACATGCCATCGGGACTGGGCGTACCATACTCGCGCGACTCACGTATTCGCTGCAGCGCCTCCTGCTCGCTTATGCCGGCGGCAAACGCTTGATTCAATTCGACATTATCGCGCGTATAATGGAACGCGGCCAAACGATCCTCGGTCAGCGATTTCGCAGCGCCACTCTCCACTGGCTCATCATTACTCTGCGTCTTAGCCAGCAGCGCATCAATGCAGAATGACTTCTTCGGTTGACTCTGTGTCGTTGTCGCCGTTGTAACGGGCGGCGAAGCGGAAGCGGCGTTTTGTTGCGCCAACATAACATTGCTCAAAGGCAACCGCGGCATCGGATAGCAGCCATTCACCAAAGCGGCATGACCGACGGGTAGCGAGCCGGGCGCAAACGTATCGTAGAGACGTGGTGTTGCCTGCTGCGGCGCCGGTAGTGTAGCCTGTGCGTTGACCAATGTCGGGAAGATGCGTTGATCGCGCAAACTATTCGCCACCGTCGTGGCTGTCATGGGCGGCAAGTGTGGCAGCGCGGGCATTGGTGCAACAATTAGTGGCAAGCCAGTGTTGCTGCTGGTGGGCGGCAGGTGTAAGACGGCGTGATGACTGGCTTCCGGTTTAGGACTTGTATTAGTGGCGTAACCACCGTTGGGTGGTGAATTTGTGGCGGAGCGTGGTGAATGTGATGAATGCGTGGGACTGGAATGTGCGGGTGAGCGCGGCGATAGCGTGGAGCTGGTGTTGTTGTCATTTTGGTAATCGCTGCGTTGTGGTGAAACGCTTTGTTGATGTTGTTGCTGCTGCTGTTGCGCGGCGGCAATGTGATTGAGAAAGTGTGAGATTTGTTGTTGTTGTTGCTGCTGTTGATGCTGTTGCGCCTGCAACGTGGGCGGTTGCGACACTTGGGCGCTAGACATTTTTGCAAACTTTTTTTCAAATGTTTTTTTTTATATTATTTTTTCAAAATCACTTTTAATTATTTTTAATTTTTTGTTTAACTCCCAAGCACTTAAAAATTATTATTCACTTGTCTTTTATTCGGTTCTTTTTATATTCTAACTGTTTTTTTTTTATCAATTAACTAAGTAATTGAGCAATTGCTTGGCATTTTTTCCGTATTTCGCTTTGTATTTGTATACAGTATGTTATTAAAGTACGTTTATCGGCTTGCTTAAAACCATTATAACGTTTAACCGTGGCGAGCGTACATTACCAACTGTGCGACAGCGTGCGATGCCTGCGAGTCATATACCTCACTGTGATAATTGGACGTAATCAACACGACTACTCGCTGGTAAGCAACCGCGATTGAGTCAACGCTCTCTTTGCCACTTACGCTCTCAATTGGCTCTCCGCCAGCAACACACGCACACTCGCACCCATATCACCGACAGCGCCTAACAGCAGTTCCGATTGCTTTTTCAAAGATGGAGACTTGCAGCAGCAGCCATCTCGCTCTGCTTACCGCATTGTAGTACGTCAGCATGAGCGGCGCGTCGTTGGGCGTGTTCGCAGCAGCGCTTAAAATGTCGACTGATATGCTGGTGGCTTATGGTGTGGGCGTGGCTGCTTATGGCGCTGCATCGCCATGGCTTAGTAGCTGCCATCACAATGGTGTAAGTGGCAAAGGGGTTGAGCTGTAACCTTTACTACGCGCTCGGTTTTTTTTTTAAACTCTCTTATTTTGGTGTAACGCATTGCAAATTGTCGGAATTGTTGGGAAAACGAGGGATAATTACCATCATTATGGAGTGTAGCCGCAATTGGTGAGGCAACGCTGTGAGCTGGGTGGAGGTGAAACACTCAAGCGTCAGCGAGCTCTTCGTTCGCTGGCGTTTATCTAGTGTGCGCTTTATAGCTGTCATTAGGCTCCTCGTCGTCATCATTAGTACGGCATAACGTAACAAACGTGCATCACTTCGTCGTCGTCAATGTTGCAGCAGCCGACAAGTGCAGTAGCAACGGAATCATTAGAAATCATTGTATTTATTGTGCAACAAATTCTTGACAATTACCGAAGCTATTTGGAGGATGAAATGTGCCTTTAACTGCTGCAAATGCTATATTTGATATTTTAGAGGAAGGAGGCAAGAATAATTTTGGCTGAGCTAAGATATAGTTTATTTGTAGTAATTTTGTCAGTTGGTATGCGATTTATTGAATACTTTCGAAAGGAATGTGGAGGACTTTAATGCGAATAATTATTTATATTTTGATTGTTAGTCACATACTCCTTAACTTTCTGGATGTCAGTATAAAATAAAAGGAAATTCATGCTAATAAAATATAATCAGAATGTTCGAGTTTTGAAGCCGGCGCGCCTCTGGTTTAGAAACATCTTTACGACTAATATAAATGGTATTGGCAAATTGTTTAAGGTTTTTAAGGATTTTTGATTAATTTTGATATTTGTTAATATATTTAATAAAATTTTGAGCCTTATGCAAGATGGCAACGATTCTTCCACCAAACAGTCATTTTTAACGTCAAGGCTTTTATAAGTTTAAAGGGTTCTGTATGTACATATATATATACTTGCAAGTCAGAAAAATCACTTTTTTTGTGAATCGATTTTTTTAAATTTTTTTTATATAATAAATAAAACAAAAAAAGTACAGTTGCATGATTTAATGTACATTAATAATCAACGATCCATTTTGAACTGTTTTGGAATAATTTCATCTCGTAGCCGATCTCCAGGAGGACCTCCGAAAAGAGTTGTCTGGCGGTGAGAAAGATTTTTCTGCTAAAATTATCCGTAAACCAAAAAAATTATTATTTAATAGATGAATACGGGTTATGGTCGAAGGGCAAATTTTGATGCTTGACCCAATGGCGGCTACCCAAAAATCGTTTTTTTGGTAAAACAAAAAAATGTTACGCTTCAGAGTGCCATAAAATTTTAAAATATTAACAAAGATTTCATACCTTCGATTTTTATCTGATAAATACATCTACTTAAAAGGTCGTTTGAAAATTTGAAGGCGATCGCTCCAGCCGTTTCGAAGTAAATTTCCTCAACGACTCTGTTTCGAGTTGCGAAAAAAAAATTAAAACTAATGAGAGCCGATAACAGTAAGTAATAAAATCTTGCAATCAATTCATATTTCCGAAACTATTTGCCGTAACAGTGTCACATTTTTTTGGAGAATATGCCTAAACATAAAGCTAATAAATTCGATATCCATATAATATATGTAAAAAAATCGATTTGTTTTATTTAAAAGTGAATACATTGATTGAGTTCATTTTCAGAATTGAATTTAAAATATCGCAGCGTTTCCATATAGAACAATGGTGATCACAGCTATGTATCTCCCATATTTCTAGTTTAGTGCCACTACGCGTATAATTCTTGTCAACAATAGAAGTTAAAGGGCTATGAAAAACTTAACTAAAATTTATGAGCCACATACACTTTTGATCGATTTGAAATTTACTAGTTACTTTACATTAACGTAATAATAAAATCTAAATTCAATCACAAAAAATGCACAATAGCAAAATCCATAATCTTATGCACAGCGTTAACTACGGTGTTTTATCGCTTATTAGTCATACCATTGCTACTTAAACTTTACCCTGATTGGATAAAGGTATGATGAAAGAAAACCAAAATGCATGACTCTTACTTACCGTTCACTATATTTGCCTTATATCTCATCACCCTAATTGTTGAGTAGTTGAACGTTTTTACTCAAGTACTAAACTTTTCTACGATCTTACTTCTTTTCAAGCTCTCTCTAACGATTCAGCAGTATTGCTAACTCCTTGAAATGCACCGCTGTTTCCTTGAAATTCCCAGTTAATTGCTCTTTGGCATCTTACAAACAAGGAGTTACCATAATAAGACATATTTTGGCTCAAATTTCTTGATTCTAGATTATTTGAGAAGAAATTTAAGAAATTTCAAAGTTAAGTGGCATGTCCATAAAAATATATTTTTGTCATAAATTTGTCTGTTATCTTGTGAATTTTGTCTTTCAAATATTTGTGTTGTTAATGCTTTTTAAATTAAATTTATATGGCAATCCATTCTTATATTTTTCTTCTTACTTCATAACTTTAAGGAAACTCAAAAATACAAAAAAAAAAACAAAAATGCTTATATGTATAACAATCTGTATATCCATATATAGGTTGGTTGACAAGTTTCTGCGCTCGAATTAAAAAAACAACTGTTTTTGGTACGAAATATATTTTTTTTATTCAATATAATCTCCGTTTACTTTAACACACTTATTCCATTTGATCCTCCAATAATTTTATGCCATCCCTATAATGACTTACCAAAAGCTCTGGAAAATACCCGTCTACATATTACTCTGTAATAGCTTCTTCATTCGAGAGCAGAAACTCTTCAAGCAACCTGTATATGTAAATGATGAATCTTGTGAATCTAACACATACTATTGTACCATATTTGATTTTCCGTTAGACTTTTATGATTACACACACAGCAACAAAGTATAATAATGAGGCATTTACTTCTCGCTTAGCAGAATAATAAAACCAAGCGAATCGGAAACAAATCGTTGCAAATCGATAAAGCCAATCAATAAAATGGCTGTGAGGATTTAATGAACGATTAAGTGAAATTAAATTTGTATTTGTGCGCACTTAAAATTGTTTTACTCATTTGACAACGATTACAACAACATTTCTGTAAGTGGAAGAAGAGGTAATTTAATAAAATGCTTGGTATAGATGTGGGGCCAGTGGCGGTGAAATGGCGTTATACGACTTGTAATTGTTAAAGGAACTTACGTGAATAACTATTTCTACTGCAGAAATATGTGAAAATATAGGCATGAGTGCCACATACTATGATAATGTAATATAAAAAATGTGGAAAACGGTTGGCCTCAAGGGCCATCCCTGCAACTTCCCTCTAATTTCATACGCTAACGTTCAAATTTCGCTTTTTTCACTGCTTTTGAGTTCTTCGAAATTTTTCGTTTTCGATATCTAGCAAGTAAATCAACCGATTTTGACCCGGTTTGCGGCAAACGATGTGTTTTTTCAAGGTTTAGAACTGATTAGTTTTTGGTGTCGATCGGTCGTCGATTTTTCAAAATTGGGTCCAAACTCACACGAAATTCAAGTGCAATGAAACCCTTTGGAATGCCGTTTAGTTTATTCAAATCGGTTGAGCCGTTTAAAAGTTATAAGAGGGTCACATACATCCACACACACACATACATACAGACATACGGACATCATCGTAGAAATGTTCGGGGAAGCTTCCTCGACCCTCAAAACGTCGAGATCTGTTGAGAACTCGATTTTTGCAAAATGGGGTGAAACCAATATCTTCCCGATTTTTAGAAAATTTTCAATTTTCTTAGCGGGAAGTTAAAAAAGAATCTTAAAAAATTATTAGAACGAATAAATTTGTACTGATAACCACAACATCGATTACTTTAACCATTGGGAACCATTAACTATTTGGGAACTACTGAAAATATTTTGCATTTGGCGTATGTAAGGAAGCAATATTCGAATAGAAGCAGAAAATGAGTTGGAAAGGTTACCCAAACATTTGCTTAACTGATTGATCAAAATTGCTAATTCTTAACCAATTAAGTCCTTATGGTATGCACTCAAAACCAAATAATGTTAGAAACTTGTCACTTAAATGTATGTGTATGTAACTAATAAAGTCTCCAAATATTATAAAAAGTCGAAAGCTTACGTTTCAAAATCAAAAAAAAACCTCAAAAGAACGCTATTCTAATATGCAAATTACTGTTTTATGACATAATATTGGAAATAATTTCAAATATTTATAGGCTTACTAAAATATTCAAATACGAGAATATGTTGATAATATTTTTGAACAGTAGTATAGTCTCGTAAATGAACGCAGTTGTTCAGTTATTTAGCAATCACCCTATTTTTTGAAACCTGGCACCAACAGAACATTGTTTTGACGATTAAATTTGTGTCAAAACGTACAAAAGATAAGCAACTTGATTAGAAATATGATCAGAAAAATCCTTAATAGCGATAGATGCGCTACTGGCATCCGCATCAGCCACCCGACTGACCTCTAGCTTTTATTACGCACTCGCTTACCATTTCAGCCTTCTATTAATGCCAGAATAAATCTTACAGAGGACAGAAGAGACATCCTGAAAATTTTCTGCGTTGTGTGATGACAACCAGTGCTATTAAAAATATATTTTAAATTAAACTATTTTAATAAA